AAAAAATTTAAACTGAAATACTGAAAATTTATATCAATATGAAATTAGGTTCTAGTTATTAGCTTTTATTATAAAATAAATAAGATAAAATGATAAAATATTAGTTTAGTCTATTTTTATCTATATATTTATCGTAATTATCAAATAATATTATTTTATTTATCTGTTTTATTCAGTTTTTCGTCAATTTCCTTCTATTATAGAAGCAGTGTTAATTATTTTCTCATTAAACAAAAGTTCAACACTTCGAAAAACAGAACAAGTTTATTTGTTCAAATATAAATTGAAAATTAGAATATTCTCAGAACAATATGTCACTTTTCGAAGCTCGTCGGCCCTCTTGAGTGTCGCATGTCCAACAAGAAATCTAACTACTAGCCACCTCTAGCGGGAGAAGCGGAAATTATTAGATTTATAAAATTCTACCGTAACTAACAGTTATACCATCTCATCACTATGTCAACAGATATTTAGTGATTTTCCTAATTTTTGAATTAACGCAGACACATGTAAAATACAATTTCAAATTAAAATAAGAGAAAAATTACCGATTTAATTTAACAATTTCTTTCAACCGAAATATTTAAAATATATGTTTTTTTGGCAAAAGTGCATTTCCATTTTTTTTGCAGCTCAAAGAAACTTACCCCTTTAATGTCTTGGCTTTATAATGTAGTACCTATACGTACATATAGTACAACATATACTGTAATTGTTTTTTCTCTCCCTATAACTAAATTAATCCTGCGAAATGTTGTAATTCTGATAAATAATTTATTTACCACATTATCGTCATTATTATAGGAAAAGGGCTATTTGGGGATAATATAATGCATACAAATTTTGTGCCGTCAGCAGCATTCGATGGGAAAAAATAATTTAGGGTTTGAAGTTTATATCTAAATGTTTTTTAATCGCATGCATGCTTTTTATCATTACTTGCTTCACTTTTACTTTAGTATTAAGCCAATTCAAATTATTTATATATTTGAAGTATGTATATGTAAAGTAAATGCTTACGACTTTTATATAAACTCTATAAAATAGTAATAATTTTGACTGAAGTTCCATATTTCTAATAAGATACCTATTCTAGAAATATTTCTAAATAATTTGGAGCAGAAGAACACTAACTTAATAGTTCTGTGAAATTGTAGGTCACGCTCTGCTAATGCGTTCCTACTGAATTAATTGCATTCAATTCATGGATCGAGTAGTAGTGACCATTCATAGATGTAGCGCTCTGTTACATTCTTCGTATTAGCAGGATTGCAAACCTTACACCTATGTACATCTCCGAACCTTTGAATTATAGAATATTTTAACCAACCAATAGAAAGGTAGCACAATTATTTACAAACAAAAGTGTAATTTTTACGGCATAGGAGTAATAACATACCGCCTCTAAAGTTATGTACAATATAATCATATTTTCTGTGATTGTATGTATAATATATTGTTACTTCTTTAATGTGAAACTTATATAATCAACCCAATTTACAGAGTCGAAGTATTGTGTTCTGCCTACTATCAAATTCAAAATGCAAAACTATTTTACATTTAAAGCTTTCTGAATACACTGACTTAAAAAAAAAGTGCGAAGAAGAACAGAACATTTTCAACAAGAATTTTTTAAACGTACAGCTTTATAAAGTTTTCTGGTACAATTTAAATTAACCATGTTCGGAATATAAAATATTTCCGTTAACGAGTTTTTATAAAACAATATATCGACATATCACATAGTCAATGCGCATGGAAGAAGCTATCATGTACAGGACAGAAATATTGACATCAAACTGCAAAAAGTTGGTGTTCTTGATCAAAAATAAAATTATTGAAAACAAATTGTGGCAATCCATTCGCAAATGATTGTTATTAAATTCCAGTAACATTTAAATATATCTTCTTGTATAATGTATAGAAATATTACAACCTTATTATTTACAATAAATAGAGAATATTTCTCATTCAAAGTAGACACAAAGTATAATGTTATAAGTTTTCGAATGGGCAATTAATTATTATTACAATTAAAATGAAAACTTTGCTAAGAATACCTATACCTACTTTTAGTGTTGCCGCGATTGCAGTTTGCTAACATCTAACACAAAGTTAATGGTTAAGTACATTATAACTAAGCATATGACATTTACGATGTGAAGTGTATTTATTTCCATAACAAACATAATGTAATTTATAGTGGGACAATAAAAATGTCGCAAGACATTAATTCAAATAACATTTAAGTCATAAACATTTTCAAATTCGGCTACATTGTTAGGAACTTACAG